TAGTAGTAGTCGCCGTCGTCGTCGTCGTCGTCGTTGTTGTTGTCGCTGTGGTTGTTGTTGTCGTTGTTGTTGATCCTGCTGTTGCTGTTGTCGTTGTCGTTGTGGTTGTGGTTGCGGTTGCGGTTGTTGTGGTTGCGGTTGTTGTTTTTGTGGGCTCGTAGTAGTAGTAGTAGTAGTAGTAGTAGTAGTAGTAGTAGTAGTAGTAGTAGTCGTACTCGTAGTGGTAGTAGTAGTAGTAGTAGTAGTAGTAGTGGTAGTGGTAGTGGTAGTGGTGGTGGTGGTGGTACTAGTGGTAGTATGTAGTATGTAGTCAGTAGTAGTAGTAGAAGAAGTATGTAGTAGTATGTAGTAGTAGCAGTAGCAGTAGCAGTAGCATTAGCATGCATTAGCAGTAGCAGCAGTAGTAGAAGTAGAAGTAGAAGTAGAAGTAGACGTAGAAGTAGAAGTAGTAGTAGTAGTAGTAGTAGTATGAGTACGTAGTAGTAGTCGTCGTTGTTGTCGTTGTCGTTGTGGTTGTTGTTGTGGTTGTTGTTGTTGCGGTGGTCGTCGTCGTTGTCGTTGTTGTTGTTGTGGTCGTTGTTGTTGTCGTCGTTGTGGTTGTCTTTGTTGTTGTGGTTGTGGTTGTTGTTGTGGTCGTCGTTGTCGTTGTTAACGTTGTCGTTATGGTTGTTGTTGTTGTTGTTGTTGTTGTTGCGGTTGTTTAAATTGTTTAATTTGTTTTCGGAGGAGGAGTCGAAGATCGTCGACGGTGCATGGTTTTCGGTCAAGACGTGCTGGTCGACGGTGAGGTCCGGTGAAACCGAAGGAGACCGAAGGAGACCATGAGGTCAGGTGGCTCCGGCCACATGGTTCGGTACAGAAAAACACACGGTCCGGCAAGATCCCCCCCAAATGTGCATTCAAGTGGAGGGGATGGACTTTGGGGTAGATGTTTATCTGGTTCGCCTTGCTAAGTTTGATTTAGTTGAATTGGATCTACAGAACATGGTTGATAAACAACACAATTGGCAGTTGGGCCCTTGTCAGTTAGGTACGTATGATCTGGTTCGCCAAGCAGCTTGCAAGTACCAAATCAAATAGCTCAGCAAGAAAAGGAGGATGTAGGACTTCTCCATCATGGACCATGAAGCCCCATCCAGAACCTTCACGGTTGTGGCTTCGAGCCACGACAACGACCAAACGAGACCGCGACCAACGACCAATCAAGTTCCTGCCCGAAACGCTGGTGGCCGCGGCTGTTGGTACCCGGTTTTTGTTCGTGTCAGTTGTCCCATGCGTGGGAATCTCGTAGTAGGTCAAAGGCAATGTCACTTCCCCAAAATGGTATACATTTGCCCGAGCAGTGTGGCCACGCTATGGTTCTCTCATAACAAATGCAAAAACATAAATAACTAAATGTGATCAAATGTGATGACATGTGTGCTCTCATATGTGCATGCTCATGTGTATTCTCATATGATATAGGTGTCCTCCTAAGTGCGCTCCTTGAGCATGTGTATTCAGTCGTGTCTCTGTGTGTGTGTCACCCTTGGAGTCATAGGGATGCTTTTGCATTTGTTTTACTGCAGGGGGGCACAGGAGGCCCATAGAGCTGTGCCCAACGAAGCTCTCTATGGTGACCTCAGGATATGCAGCCTGATCAGCTTCACGTACCTGCTATTTTCCTTTTTTTCTGAAATGGCACGAGGCTAAGCCAAGAACCTCAAGCGGCAGATGTGAGCGGAACGTCGTCACCCTGCTCGATTCGCTCGCCGTCTTCGACCTTGAGTTTTTGGCCTCACTTCTTCTTACAGACCTCCAGGTTCTTTAGGACTTTCCTGGACCTTTCAGGTTTGGGTCTCTTAGGCCGGCGTGTGGCACCGCATTCAGTTCAGTACACAATATCCTAAGTGTGTTTGGCCTTGTGCCAACCCGGGATGAGCCCGCAGAGTGCCTCCCGTGGACCCGTCGAACGGGTGTACGTCGTTATCTCCCCTGCCCGGAGATGTAGATGCCCAGAGCGGGCGAAGGTGGCCTAGGCCGTACGTACGATGATTTTTGTCTCATCTTTGGAATTCCAAGTTGGCTCATGCCTTTACGTGACCGCAGCGGTCAAAGCAGCCAGCCGTTTCGGCAGGGCACAAGGTGACCACAGCGGTCAAAGCAAGTTTTAGGTTCATTGGAACCTGTTGGAGCCTTAGTTTTTCAGTTGATTCTCTTAGTCTCACCTTACCTTCGGCATGGAGCTTAAAATCTTGCCTCCCTCCGGGGAGGCGTGTGTGTGTGTCACCCTTGGAGTCATAGGGATGCTTTTGCATTTGTTTTACTGCAGGGGGGCACAGGAGGCCCATAGAGCTGTGCCCAACGAAGCTCTCTATGGTGACCTCAGGATATGCAGCCTGATCAGCTGCACGTACCTGCTATTTTCCTTTTTTTCTGAAATGGCACGAGGCTAAGCCAAGAACCTCAAGCGGCAAATGTGAGCGGAACGTCGTCACCCTGCTCGATTCGCTCGCCGTCTTCGACCTTGAGTTTTTGGCCTCACTTCTTCTTACAGACCTCCAGGTTCTTTAGGACTTTCCTGGACCTTTCAGGATTTGGGTCTCTTAGGCCGGCGTGTGGCACCGCATTCAGTTCAGTACACAATATCCTAAGTGTGTGCGTGGTCCTATCTTCACTTTCATGTGTGCTCATAGGTGCTTCTCGGGATGTCAAATGTGTGTTCATGTGTGTTTACTCAAAGGGCTTCGTCATATGAGTGTGAAAGGTTCATGCTGGTTGATGGTCGCCCCCCCCCCACTGTGTCGACCTTGGAACGAACGGAACATAAGAGCAACGGGCTGGTCGGACATCGGGGTTGGAAACAAATCGGTGGGGCAGCTTGGGTGCAGAAATGATTTCTGGGTTGAAACACAAGTCACTTAAAAACTATGAGTCAGTGGGTGGAAAACCATCCTTAGAGATTGAACAAACAATTCACGGAAGAGACCCACGAACAGAAAAAACCACGCCCGGTTTGTAGCCACGTTCAGGTTCCATGTGAATTTTCCCGGGTCTTTTCTGAAACCACGACTCAGATTTGTATCTGATCAATGTCAATTGGGTCTACCCTGTTACCAGTAACAGCGGATGATGGTTAGTAAAGGCCTGTCCCTAGAATAGTCATTACTGTTTACCGACTGTTACAGGTATTTAATAGTACAGATCCAGAATGTCAAGAATGTATTGTAACTCTCAAGCCTTGGACTACCAGTACCATCTACTTTGACAGCTTGTACAGACTCTTGAACCTACAGTGCTGCAGTGTGCGCTACAGTGTGCGCGTCTCCGAAGTTTGGACCTCACTGCATCGTATACTCACCTCACGACCGAGGGGTATGTTGTGTGTCATATATGGTAGATTCAACAAACAGTTAAACAAATGATCATATTCAGTACCTTCCTCCACCTATCCCTTTTGGGATCTCTGAAACCAAAGCTCCCTCGACAATGTCAGGTCTGAAACCTTGACAACGAACCCAGAAACCATGGCGAATGTACCTTCGCCTAGACAGGAATCCGTACCTGAAGAATCTATATATGGAAAAGACTGGAACAGTCATGAACTTGTGTGCTATTTCTCCGATTTCTAGTCTAGTCTAGTCGTGTACTGGGTACTATCTCTTTTTAATCTGCCTTCTGCCTTCTCACTTTTGGAAAACTCCCTAAACCCTCGGCTCCAGCTTGGCGTCGGGCCATCAGCTTCTGCTCATGAGTATCCATGGCAAACAAGAATACGCGGAGATGCTGAAAATCAGTATCGAATTGCGCGGATGATGAACCTTCGGCTATGCACAGCAATCAAGCAGTTTCCAGCTGCTGAACATCGTCATGTGTGATCCAAATGGCTATTTGGCGGGAGCTTTTTTTGTCTCTCTCTCTTTCTCTCTCTCTCTCTCTGTCCTGCCCCCTAGCTGAACTCTCTCTTCACCCCCCAGGAATGTGTGTGTGTGTGCCTTCCATTTCTATTTATTTTACATGTTTGACCTGTGGCTACCGGAGGATCGCCCACGGCGCTACATGTTTGCATTGTTTCGTGTTGAGGAGTTGCTGTGGAATGCTTTGAATCGTGTTTCTTGTTTAAAGAATGAAGCCGGAGTAGATGAGCAATTAGTAGATGCTAATGTTCAAGACCTTCTTTAAGGCTCTGCTGTCTTGAGGGAATCAGTCAGTGCCAACGGCGAAGGTAGAGGTAGCTTGCATCCATCAGTTCTGGGATGACAGGCATCTTCATACTTTTTCAATCCAATCAGCCAGGCGATTGAAGGAGAATCACTCAATCAATCACCATTCAATCATAATGTAGACTCTTGATTAACTGAGGAGGTTTTACAATCCAAATCAAAAGGGCGTTATGAATCAAGAGTCTACATGATACGCTACAGCCAAGCGAGCCAACCGCGCCCGTATCTCCCATTTCCAGAGATCTGACGATCTGAGTTCAACACCACCGACCTTGGATGATGAAAATACGTTGAACCTGAAGACCCAGCCAGGCCAGGATGATAGTTGATGTTTGGTGATTCTGCCATTCAAAACTCTCTTCGACTTGCCGCCACATCACAGCATTGGCCCGGAACCTCCGTTGGTGCGGAGTCACGTCACCTTCGTTGCCGGGTTATCAACAAATGCCCGTTGATACCCGTTTGGACTGGTGACGTGGGGAGACCAGATCAAAAAACATATTGAACCTACTTCTCCTAAACATCGCAAGCGCAGCATTAGACCGATTCAACTCAGGGCCAGGAGAATGATTCTCCCCTGTTTTGATGTCCATTTATCTGAACACTCTGAAACCAAACAAACTCCATACCTTCATATCAGTCCTTTGCTCCACAAACACATGAAACTGGACGTCCAACAAAAACATTTTTTCCTTTCAACGGATTGTGGAAAATCGCCGAACCCATCGTGAATGCGCAGCGGACGCGATGGGAAAACGGGACGACTTCCTTCCTCGGCCAACGACGGCAGCGACCCATCCCTTTTGCTCGGCGGCACTGTTTCCGCGCTGTTTCAGCGCTGCGCGCAGCTTCATCCGGGCGTCTCCTGAAGCATCGTGAGCTCCGTTTGCCGCGGAGTGGGGGGGCCGGGGACACGGGGACACGGACTGGGGGCACGTTAAGGGACTGTACCAGTACTGGTGCTCTCCGAAATCGATCTAAATACCAAAACAGGAGTGTTCTGCTTCATCCTGAGGTGTCAGGGTTTTCAACAACATGGATATCGATGGAGTTCTCAAATGACAATTTTCCTCTCTCCGTGCCATGTGTTTTTCTTGTGACTTGTGTGTGTGTGCGGTCTCTAATTCAGACAGTTGACCTTTGGGACAATGGGCTTTGGGACCCCAGACTAGGGACATGACATGAGGGACATGACTCTCATGATGTGGTCATAGTCTCAGCTAACTGCGGCCGAAGCCAATCGGTTGTTTCGTTTGGGCCGGTCTCAGCACTGGTCACACCGGTCCTTCCTCGCATGGCTGGGCTCTGGCTTCTCCTCCAAAACTCTGCTGGAACTGAGTGAATCTATGTGGCCGTGGGTTCGAACCCGGGCACTCTAGTTGACCTCTGAAAATGCACAAGAAATTAGCTTTGCAAGCGATGTCAACCTTTCAATGTTTGGTGGGAGAGAGAGGCTCTGACTCACAGCTATCTTTTTCCGTGGTGGTCCATCTATTTTTCTGCACAGTTGGCGCCATGGTTCTCAATCGAAAGATCTATATACCCTTTGGTCCTTCTGAACCTGAGGACCTGTGAGTCAACACGAGCAACCAGTCAAGCTTCACGATCATCTACATTATCCAAATGAGAGTTCCTGGAATTGACTCTCACCAACACTTTAAAGACTCCAGAATTTGCAAATAGCTCTGATGAGTTCTTTCCACATGTGCTGAAAACGCCACTGGCACCTAGTAAAGGTTTGGCTTTAAAGGATTCCTGAGGTGTGAATAGCCAAAATAACGCTCAATACTGCTCCTATCTGCTACTAGGCCCCTTTGAACTCTGGCAATTCTCACCTACCAACAACTAAATAATTACAGTTATGCAAACACAAGAACTTGCATCCACAACATGTAGGTGCACGGCAGAAAGCTTGCAGTCCTCACGCCCTAAAAGGATCTAAAAGGACCACATCTCCATGGTACACACACACTGTCATCTCGTGGTCAAAGGTGTTCCAGAGCGTGCGACATGTGAAATGGAACATCTTTCCCACAGCTTTGACATGCAGTGTCTACACTCATGCACAAAAAAAATATTGACACGAGCATTCACTGCAGAAATGGACGTGAAGCAAGTAAACGATGGACACCCAAGGAAGCTCAAGCGAACACACAAAAAAAAAGGAAGCTTGGGACTCGGGACTTGCCTAGAAGTGCGAAAGAAGGTTCGCCCTCATGCAATCCAATGCAATGCAATCAGCCTTCGCTTTCAAATTTAGTCACCAGGCTGGGTGTCACGACCATTCACAACTCTCACCTTCAATCTTTGTCTAGAAGACAACCAAACAATGTGTCTGCATGTCATGAGAATAGATCATTGCGGGGTTCCTGCGGCTGACTCGCCGGCAAACTCCTTCTGCAATGAAACACAAACGCACAAAACCAGACACATGTGATCAACATTGGATGTATTCTGATGCCCGACAAAGTCCATCTGACAACATGGACGACGGCCATCTATCATGCGCGGTCAACACTTACATCTACTTACCACAATATATGCAGCAACATGGTTATGCATGGGACAATCTGGATGTGTAAGGCTCCAGACTCCAGAAGATCCCCAACCGGCGGTGTATTCCTCATTCCAGGGGTGGTCAACGTTGGGTCTCCGTGATTCACCGGCGCTGGGACCGACACCGGTGGCTCCTCGCTGATGGCCCAAGCGATGAGTTGCACAGGCGCCAGGCCGCAAGGGATGCACAAGGCGATGAGCACCTTGGAAGCCGCGGATCACTGGAAAAAATCGAAAAGAGAAAGAGATGTGTCGTGAAAGAAACAGAAACACGATCGACCGCCTTGGATGTCGGGATCTTTTCCTTCGTTCGACCCCATAGGCTTCGGGTGTTCCCCTCTTCGAACAGACACAGCCAGAACTACAACAAAGGCATCCCCTCGTTGCGGTTAGTTTATCTTTCACAAAGGGGGCCTCTTGACATGCTTAAGACTCCGGAAAGCTGACATAGACGAGTCACCAAAATCCGGAATTCATCCCAGGATGTTTTGAGATAACTCAATTTCACTTCCAGGATGCCCCAATCTTCAACTTCATTCTCCCGCAATCCTTGCTCCCACCAACCACGGCAGCCACCGATGGAATCCCAGCCATAAGCAACTTCAAGCTTCAACAAAAGACACGATCACGGCATATCACATACATATATATATATATATTTGGTCATCAGGACCACCTTTTGACATGCTGAGTCACCACCATCTTCATGTCAGTGGAATCAAGGCCATGCTGACCATGGTCATCGTCCTCATATTCCTGCCCACGAAATGGTCGCCGAGATTTCGATGGTCGCATCCCATGGTCGTTGGGTCTCTTTTCGCCCAGCCAGCGAGCGAAAGCACGTTGGGACCCCGGCCGAACAAGCCAGGAAGCTCAAGAAGCCCAGCACCAGGTCCTTGGTGCACCGAGGGAGCCCAGTCAGGGAGCTCACCAGGTCTCAAGGGGCTCAGTCAATCCGTCTCAAGCACTGAAGCGATGGTCGTTTTTACATGGGAAGGTTGGGTCAGCCCTGGCCTGGTGGTCCAATGAGAAACCTCCTGACCAGCAGTACGGGACCTCCAACTTGTGAAGCTTAAGATCATTCTTGATGAATTCCTAGAATCACAAAGATCAATCCTGTTCTTGGTATGTCTTTGACATGAAACACTTAACGCAACACGGTATCTAAACAAAGGATTAAACGGTCCGTCGACAGAATGCAAGCCAAATGCACCGGATGCAACTCGAAGGCATGAATCGAGTCGAGGAGACGAGGAGTCGAGAAGAATTCGCCCTGATTCCCTCGTTGGAATGAAGTTCAAAGGTGACCAATGATTCAAGGCGCTTCCCGGCTGCGTATACGGCCAAGCGCACGACACCCAAACCGAGTGAGCCATGGGATTCCTCTTCTGCTTCCTCCCGGTTTGGTACACAGAATGACTCGAGAACGCTTCACGGACCTGACCAAAACCGGAGAAAAGGCGTCATATCTTGGAGAGTTCCCGGTCGCAAAGGAGCTTTGAGCTGCACTGATGTGCTGTGAGTGTCTGGGATTTGTAGGCAGCTAGCCTCCTTTGATGATCAGCGGACCTGATGAACGGCAACACAAATCTTTCTGAGAGAAACACAAACACCGAGACAACAATCTCACAATTCACGATAAATGCATGTGATTGAAATAACGTCTGTCTGTAGATGTCTGTAACTGCAAGCTGCTCCGCGCGAGCTTGGAACCTTAACCTAGGGCTGCAAATGGTTAGATCTCTTAAGAACCTTTGACCACCAGGAGTCACATTTCCAGGAGGCGACGGACCTGGTTGCAGTCAGTTTTGTTATTCATCCTTGCGTGTGACCTCTGCTTTGAGTTATTTGAGGCCATTGGTTGTGTGTTCACCTTGAAGACCTATTTCCCCAACTCCAGCTTCAAATTGGACACCCCCAGCCGAAAAAACATCGTAGCGTCAACTTTTCGTCACTTTGGCGGCTCCCCCTACTTTGATGTCACACCCACATGATCACAACATACCAGGGGGCCTCAAAACCATGAAAAACAAAGGTGTTCACCTACACAAACCATGCTTTTTGCTAGGGGAAAAACCGCTTGTTTTTGATGGTTTGTGGGGCCCCTGGTACTAAATCTTTCACGGATTTCACTGCCGGTCTCCCACCAAGACGACGCAAACTTCCAGTCTCCATTCCGAGTCACGGAGTGAGCGTTGCACCAACTGTTGAACCTGACAGCGCGTTTCTTCGGACGGACGGCATTCGTCGGTGTCGTCGTCTCTTTTGGCGTCCGGCTCTTCATCTTAGTCTGTCTGTTCAGAACCAAAAAATCGGTTTCTGGAACCGGACGAGCGGTTCTGGGATCGCTGGCGCAGATTCTGCAGGATCCCAACACGAACTTCAACAAGATCTGAGCGTCTGAGCAGGCACTTTCTATGCAAATAGAAGTTTTTAACGACTCCCCCTGTTAGTCCAAAGGAGACGAAAGAACATGGGATGGGTGGAGGATCCACCGTTCTCAAACAGTCTCGGGGGTTGATTAATCAAGAGTCTACATTAGGCTCCTCCTCTTTGGGCGTCTGACTTCGTGAGCCACGGTTCCAGACATGGTCTCGGTGAAAACCAAAAAAGTAGTTCGTTGCATTTGCAAAAAATCAAGGTCGGTTCAATTCTCACACTATCATGGACTTAATTTTGGATGTTGCCAAGAAACTATTTCAGCAGAGAAGACCCCAAAAAGGATCAAAAAGGATAACAAAAACAGCGGGAGAAACTCAGCCTTTCTTTAGCGCGTGTCAATACGTGTCACAACGGTCAGTCTAGCTAGGTATTGTGCTTTGTGCTGAACAAATACCGCTGGAGGCGTCTCAACAAACCAACTTCAAATCCTATGCAGTGGCGCAGGAATGCCAAGTCCCCCGTTTGAGCAGTTGCTTTGTTGTTCTTGAACTTCCAACCTGCGCCTCATTCTGGGCAGTGTATGTTAGCCGGGACTGTCACCAGGCGATCTAAGCAAACCAGGCGGAGAAAACCCAAGCAACCCAGCTGTTCAATGGACGACCCACACCTCTCATAATATAACCAATATGATTGATATATTTCTAATAATCTTATATAAGTGTAAACATAAATGTATCGTCTCACGGATCAAATCTGCCCAGTCACCCACGGCTGACCACGGTCAATTGGGTCAACCTCAGCCGCACGCGTGCAGCAGGTTTTTGTGCCTTGAATCCTGCAAATTCGGACTCTCTGAACCCTGGCCCAGTTGGGAAGCCAAAAAAACGGACTATTCTGGACACCTGGCATTAGCAAGAATCACTTAGCCAAAAAAGAACATGTGATTCACAATTGCACGATGTGATTGTTAAGGAATGAAGACCTCAATGAGGATTTCAACTCCAAGAACCAAGTGCTTTATGAAGCGGGGGATTAGATCGAAAGAACACTGGCCTACCCGTCCTGCTCACCAGTGAGTCTGCCTACGTGATTCGGTGTCAAGGAATGCATATGGAATCATTCACACACACACACATTGAAACTTCATGGGAGCAACATGTACCCAAAGAATCCTTGGGCCTGACCTCTTGGCAGGGGTCCAGGCCCGAACCCGCAATTGCTTCGGGCCCGGATTCTTCTATCACCAAAACGAACGACTGCCGACCTTGCTCCGAACGACAAGTCCTGTTGATCTCGGCTTCGTTTCACCTACATTCGACCTTTGAGCAGCCGACCAGAGCTGACCGCTGCGACCAGAGCTGGGTGACCTCCAAGACCAGTCGATTGGCGAACTCCCTCCGTCTCCGTCTCTCGTCTCCTCTGGTGTGGGGAACATGCCCAGCATGACCCCAGTGGCCCTTGAGCTGTGAACGAAACCAGTTCAGTTCCACTGAGCCCAGGTTCAGCCAGGGGGGTTTTACCAGTTCTGGTGAAGTCTGAACAGGTGGTATCCAGGTTGTCTCATGTTGTCTCAATTTGCAAGACTCCACCAGGTCGAGATGGAACACATTATCGAACTTTGAGATTCAGTCACAGTGTCCTTAAACAACATGATACAATGTTACCATAAATTCTCAATCGATCCAATCAATAGTGAGCTGAGATGCTCCAGTGGGAATTTTACATGATTAGCGGCTTTAGCTTGGGATTTCTGACACAATGTGGCAAGAGTTGAGCCCACTACTTCACTGGTTTTGGGTGAGGACGCTCCCACACTGACCTAGTTGGGAATTCACACCCACCTGGTGCTGCTTGCATCACCGTGTTCAGGGACGGTTTTGCCAGCAGCTCCCCTCAAAAGTTGAAAGACTCGGAACCACACAAATGCTGGGGCTGTAATATAATATATATATATATATTGAATCAGGCACCAACAGGCGTGCGACCATCAAAAACCACTGAATCCTCCAGAGTTCAGGAGTTGGAATGCCCATGAACACCAAGCGACTCACTCTGGAACTCCATCTGCGACAGGTCTTGGAACTCCTGCATCTTCTGATAGTACCTCCAAGCCGCTCACAGCCGCTTCGGACTCAGTTCACACCAATGAGCCGAAAACAAGACCGAGCCAATCAGCTCTCAAGCGAAAGCACCACGAAGAAAGACGGCAAGTAAATGAGTATAAGATTGTATAAGCATCCAAAGAACAAACAACGTGAATACAAAGGAGAAGGAATGAGAAGGGTGGTATAGGAAAGAATAACACCAAAAGGTGCGCAGACTTCAGCAATACAACAAACAGGAATCCGGGAAGAAAGAAAGCCACAAAACATGAGGAAAGCCACCAAAAACCACTAAGTTTTGGGATTTTGATACATGCACGCCATTACGGCATAAGGACAAGTGAAACGAAAGCTGGGGACACTGAAAGGGAACTAGGACCGCACCCAAAAAAGAGGAGGAACGACTGCCTGGACTTTGGGGGAATGGATGGTACATGATAGAATGACAAGCAAATGTTTCCTTCGCACCAAATCAAAAAGCCGCCCTGTTTTCAGCCCACAGCATAGCCGGGGCAATAATGCAAGCCCATATCAAGCCAATAAGGCAACCTCCATAGATTTGGTTGTTCGAATCGGAAGGGTTTGCGCGTGGGTGAACCCAATCGAGTTCCTCCATGGGAGATGCCCTTACTTCAAGACACAACCAGTTTAAACATGTTTCTGTGCTCCCGATGTTTTCGCATGTGCTCCCACCATGTCCCGCCCATCCCGGTTCAACATGAAAGAAGCCCTAAGCTCGCCTGCTGGCATTCGGCAGATCTCCAAGCTGATGGTCCAACTGATCCTGGGCCGGCCCGGCGTGTTCCGGGGTCGGTCGAGAAAGAAGGAGATGCAAGGCGCCAAGGAAGAAGGCAACGGGTGCCATCTTGAAGATTCTTGAAGCCCCCAAGTTTTGAGTTGTTTGGATCCTTTGACTGGTGGAAATTGAATATTTCAGAATGTTTCACAAACCTAAGAATGTTGGTATTGCCTCATGTGGGTGTGTCATTCTCTGGAGACCCTCGGGCGTTCCTTGCAAGAGACCTACCGCTGGTGCTTGCCTAAGGTAAGGACCAAGTCGAATTTCTCACTAATTCAGAATCCCTCACAAAAACTGCAAAACTCTTTTTTGAATGCTTTAAACACTCATTGAATTCATTCACTACACCACTCATTCATCCTTCTCGGTGCACCGACCACAACGACCCGACCAACGACCCGACCAACGACCAACGAACGACCGTCCGGCCGAGGACTCCAGGACCGGCCCACAGGGCGGTTGTGGATGTGGGATGATGTGGGATGATGCTTCCTTAAGATAGGAAGACCCCTGAAAAACATCCTGGAAGATCCTGTATGATGATGGTTTAAAACCAGTTGGTGGGTCCTGAAAATACAAACCCATGTAGAAATTCGATGTGCAGGATTATGCGGGATGCAACTCGGGGGTTATGTACAAACCCGGGCTTTCGATTTCCATAAACCAAAAAACACCCGCCAGATCCTGCCAAATGCTTTTGCCACCCGGATCTTGCCAGTAGCTTGCGTTTGTTTGCCTGCCAAGTGTCCAAGTGCTCACTCAAAGCTTGCACCTCTTGCTCAAATCCTGCTGCGCAAGTGACGTGGCAGGGATCGTGCACAGAAACACACCATCTTTAACCAGGGTTTAACCAGGTATTGCTCGTGCAGAAATTGGCTGCGAGCTCTGCTCTAGTTTTTGGGCCTTGCCTTGATGCCCATTCAGCTATTCTCACAGGTCCTGATTGCTGTCCTGTCCGCTTGCAACATGTTTTGACGCCTCATAAAGTCGTCGGGCTGCTACCGGATGCCACGTACAGGTCAGGCGCTGTGACAGGATGTTCTTCGTCCTCTTTTACGTCTAAAAGTCCCTTGCTATAGTGTTCTTTTGTTGCATGGGAGCTATTTCCTGCACCTCACCACACGTGATGAACATGTTGGCTTTGTGTTCTATGTTGAATGGACCCCACAACAAGCTCAGCGCCGAGGCTTAGGGCCTAGAAGTTGTCGGTGTTACTTTCTCAGGATGATCGGGATGGTTGTTTATGCTTGGAACTTTTGTTCCATGGTTTCTCAAAATCCTTGAGTCCGTGAACGTCCATGCCTGCAGCAGCAATGCTGTTGCATGTTGTTGCTTCATATTGTGGGTGACACCAGGAAGAAACGGTACAACACAGGATGAAGGTGTCCAGTTTCAAAGATTCGAGGTGATGGTCTTAGCTTAGCTCTGCTGTGCATCACCTAAGATACTCCTCTGACAATTTGGCTATTGTTCTGGTGAGAATCAGTGGCGTTTCTGAGTCATTCTCAGTTCATTCCATCCTTCAAAAAGACCAAGCTTTCGAAGTTACTGCAATGGTGCATGCCCTCGGCCTCAAATATTCAACCCAACAAGCTGAAGATGACTCCACGATGCATTTCTAAAATGACCTTTTGTTTCGACCAAATATGTGTTTTGGATCCAATCCCCCCAGGCAACTTCTTCTGATTTCTTTCTCACTTACAAGCGAGCAAACAGAACATTTTGGTCTAAAGTTTAAAGAGGTTTGTCCATGTTGGGGACGCCCAAGGATCTCCATTTGACTGGTCAAGTCATCCGTGTAACTCATACGCTATTAAACCATACACATGTCTTCAATGAGAAACGCCCAGTCCTGAAACAGAATTGATCCCCAAACACTCTTGAGTTATTCTAAAACCCACTGGCCGCTGTTCGGACCTTTCCATTCCCTCGGTGAACTGCGAAGCCATCGCTGAGGGCCCGGGCGACCTGTGGACTGAGCCTCGTGGTTTCAAGCGATGGCGTTCGCCAACGAATGCGAGGCCCTACACAAAGCCATGCGAATTCAAAGCCATATCTTGGGTGAGCAGTCGCAATCGCAATATCCCAAGTCTGAAGCTTGTGGTTTCTCCGCGACCTATTTGAAAGCACGTGGACAGTATAGACCTTTGCAAGCTTTCGAACCTTCAAAACGATTACAAATACCAGTACCTACGACGTACGATACTCTTGTATATCGCAATCTATCGCCCACATCACCATGCACATATCCATATCCATATCCATATCTATTATCTATCTATCCATCCATCCATCCATCCATCTATTTGTATAATGTATATATACAATTCTCTATATATATACATACATTAAACTATATATATGTGATTTACTTTGTTTATCCCTGGGTTTCTCCTCTTGCTTCTGAATGCTCGTCGAGAGGTGTCAAGCAAGACTGTCCCACCAGTGTTTCCTATATGAGTGTCATGTCATATATTATATATATAGTCGGAGATATTACTGTGTGTGAAACCATGAAACCAGTGAGCAAAGAGGAAAGTTGCCCAATCAGGGGTAAGAATGCCTACACGACAAGGGTACATATCAGCACAGATCAGAATGGAATCACCTTACGGCTGCTTCCATTGCAGTGTGGTGGGTCCATGCAGTTTCATTGAACCAAGGATAAACTGACATTTACCAATATCATCAACTTCGTCAAAACAAGCATGTTGGTCAAGTTTAAGGAGTGTTTTGCTTGGAATGTTCAGGAGTAGAATTCTAGACAGAAGCTCTCCCTTTCGATCCTCCACATCTCAACAGCTTACTTCCGACGTACCCATTGATGGTCAAAACCATGGGGGATGGTCAAAAATATGTCAAAATGTCATATGCGGCAGTTCCTTCTTCTTGGTCTGCCAAGATTCCTCCTCGAGATTCAACCCCGTCTGCCTTGGCGGAGAAAGACGTCCTCTATTCAATGAGGTTTAAGCATATTGTTCAGAGAGAAGGGTTCTGACAAGGCTTTCACCTGCAAAACACCATGCACAAGTGTATTCTGACATGTGATAGGCTGCTAAGCCAGTAGAAAACACCATAAGCCGCAGCAAAGACTTCCTATAGTGGACAGCCATTGATTCACCGCTTTGGAAAGAATCCCGTTGGCCGAGGTCAGGGGAAAAGTGTTCCAATGAGTATGATGAATTGGCCAATGCTGAAGCAATTAGTCGATCGATCAACAACAACCAAGCCCAAATTGGGACATCTGCAGTTGTTTTTGTATAAGGCGTTTATAAACTCTTGCATGATTTCAGTTTGAACAAGTAGACCCCTAGTTACTAGTTTTGAGGCACGCCAAAAAACCCTGACCACGAAAGAAAGCGATTTGTATGATCCTCAAAGGTGGTCCATTGGCCGAAAAAAATCAAAACAAACTAAGAGGAACAAGAAGCTACTAGGGGCTCCTGGCATCGCTACTAGGAGCAAGAAGCTGCTAGGGGCTCCTGGCCGTACTACTAGCAGCAAGGACGCTACTAGGAGCTTTTGATCCTCAAAGGTGGTCCATTGGCCGGATATTCCAAACAAACTAAGGACCTAAATTTCTGGAGATTCGCAATTCTCGTGACGACCCGCAGGTGGTGTTCTGATCTGCGAAAGAATGACCCTTGTGGTGTTTTGGCATCCGCGGGTATACAACAAGCAACGTATTGAGAGTGCTCTCAGGTATCAGTATGACTCGTATGAATCTCAAATGCGTGTGTTTCGGAGTGTCACCGTATGTCAATGTGTCTGAAACCTCTTTAGCTACCAGCTACCGGAGGCAACACACCTAAGTGCCCCCCAAAGTTCCTTCCGCCGCGATACAACAAAGACACGTCACAGGCTGCCTCCGCATTGACCTGGACTGAGCTGTGTGGAGTGGTTGTAGAGATCAGGATCATGGCATGAGGGACCAGGGACCATGCCATCCATCGAGCTGATGAGACCCCAAACGGGTCGGCCCCGGTCATGTTTCGTCAGCACCACACGGGACGCTCTTTCATTCACGCGGATTCTCTTGTGACCTCCGGCTCTGGGATGTGTATGCCGCGTATGCAAAGCACCTAAAGACTCGAACCTCCAATTACTGGACCTCATTTGCAGTGCAGCTTAGCCGCTGTGCAGAAAAGAAGTTCTTCTTCCCTCCATGAGGTCCTTCCTGTGTTCCGGTCGTTCCAGGGTTCCGGAGACTTGTCGTGACGGACCAGTGGACCTCATACCTTCATGGAAAAGACACAGCACAGAACTCGCCGTAGCTGTAACTTCAGTTGCAGAAGTCTGTTCCACTGTGCCTCGGCGAACCTTCGACACATGACCAATCTTGCCAAACACATGACCAAACAGCTGAGGCAACGATTCAAAACAAGTCGAACTTGTGATCCGAACTTTGGGGAATTTTGTGAATGAAGCGTTTTTCGTCGAAGCCTTTTTCGACCGGTCGAGCCGATCCGCGGACCTAGTACCGAACAAAGATTCACATACCTGTCAATCTGCGAAGTGGGTTTGGTCCAAAACAAATATGGAAAGGGACCCATGGCATGCGCAAATCCGAAGAAGCGCGACAAGTCTTTGCCCACTTGGGCATGAAAGGTGCTGAAAAAATGCTGAAACCACATATCAAGATTCCTACAACCTCATCTTCCTCTTCCAAAACAATCAAAAACAATCAAAGCCCCAGGCCAAAGCGGCCAATGTGAGCCCCATGTCCGCCAGCAATAAGCAGCCGGGGCCATACCGCATGATGCACAAGGAAGAAGCGTTTGTTCAGGAGAACGAAGCCGGACAATGTTGCTTCTATTGAGCCAGTTGAATGATGTTGAATTCGTTTTTGGCTAAGCACACGGTGTGTCCGATGAGCCAACTCTGCTTCTTCACCCCCAAAAGTCCACACCTCTAGATGTCCCCGAATGCTGTGTCAGTTTGAGGACCTAGAGATGCACGGAATTAGAAATAACATGAAATAAATATTCCTTGGGTGGACGACCTCATGCTCCTCACACCGTGTCTTTTTTGAAGAAAAACAACAACACGGAGGATTTCACGCCCCTCCGTGGAGGTTCGGTTGGGCGGGTCGTTTACGCGCTCGAGCCAGTCGAGCTGAGGGCACATCAGCTACTTTGGAAGTGAAGTGGGTTTGGTCCGATATTTGCCCAGAAAGAAAAAGACACGATCTAGCCCTAAGAATCCAGGCCCAGGGTTTGGCCCTCAAATTCATAGGTTTTTGAGCTGTTTGCTTCGGGCCACCCCCTGCGAAGGTGTCGGGTCCGACCGTTCCCACGACGTCCCATCGACTCCCCACGTTCCACGCCACGCCCCACGCTGAGCTGAGAATTCCCATCGTTTTTCCGAGTGAAACGACAGGAAAGAGGCGTAGCAAATCCCGGAATCCACCAGGATCTATAAACCAACGGATGGTGATGATGATGATGATGATGATGAGATTTTCTCACACATCTGGAAGCATATCATCAAACATGATTGAAATTCGTGCAATTCCTGGGATTCTGTGATGATCTAGTCCCAATCAGTCATCCTCATCGGAGCCTCAAATAGCAACAATGCACAGCGTTTTTGTTCATCCTTTTGACCTTCTGCCGAACACGCGCAGCATTTTTCACGGGGAGTCGTGGGAGATGTGTGACTGGAACTGAAAACTATTGAACACTCATAAAACTGAACAAAGGCGTCCTTGCTCCTAGTAGCGATGCCGGGAGGCCCTAGTAGCTTCTTGCTCCTAGTAGTATGGCCAGGAGCCCCTAGTAGGGTCCTTGCTCCTAGTAGCGATGCCAGGAGGCCCTAGTAGCTTCTTGCTCCTAGTAGTATGGCCAAGAGCCCCTAGTAGGGTCCTTGCTCCTAGTAGCGATGCCAGGAGGCCCTAGTAGCTTCTTGCTCCTAGTACTATGGCCAGGAGCCCCTAGTAGGGTCCTTGCTCCTAGTAGCGATGCCAGGAGACCCTGGTAGGTTCTTGCTCCTAGTAGTAAGGCCAGGAGCCCCTAGTAGCGTCCTCGCTCCTAGCAGCGATGCCAGGAGCCCCCAGTAGCTTCTTGCTCCTAGTAGCAAGGCCAGGAGCCCCTAGTAGCGTCCTTGCTCCTAGTAGCGATGCCAGGAGCCCCTAGTAGCGTCCTTGCTCCTAGTGGTAAGGCCAGGAGCCCCTAGTAGCGTCCTTGTTCCTAGTAGTAAGGCCAGGAGCCCCTAGTAGCGTCCTTGCTCCTAGTAGTAAGGCCAAGAGACCCTAGTAGCGTCCTTGCTCCTAGCGATGCCAGGAGCCCCTAGTAGCGTTCTTGCTCCTGGTAGTAGGGCCAGGAGCCCCTAGTAGCGTCCTTGCTCCTAGTAGTAAGGCCAAGAGCCCCTAGTAGCGTCCTTGCTCCTAGTAGCGATGCCAGGAGCCCCTAGTAGCTTCTTGCTCCTAGTAGTAAGGCCAGGAGCCCCTAGTGGCGTCCTTGCTCCTAGTAGCGATGCGAGGAGCCCCTAGGAGCTTCTTGCCCCTAGTAGTAAGGCCAAGAGCCCCTAGTAGCGTCCTTGCTCCTAGTAGCGATGCCAGGAGCCACTAGTAGCTTCTTGCTCCTAGTGGTAAGGCCAGGAGCCCCTAGTAGCGTCCTTGTTCCTAGTAGTAAGGCCAGGAGCCCCTAGTAGTAGCGTCCTTGCTCCTAGTAGCGATGCCAGGAGCCCCTAGTAGCTTCTTGCTCCTAGTAGTAAGGCCAGGAGCCCCTAGTGGCGTCCTTGCTCCTAGTAGCGATGCGAGGAGCCCCTATGAGCTTCTTGCCCCTAGTAGTAAGGCCAAGAGCCCCTAGTAGCGTCCTTGCTCCTAGTTAAGCAAATCAAGAGTCTGGGGGTTCTATATATCGGGAACCAGACTGTCAGCGTCCGTTGACGGTTTTGCAGATTAAGAAACAGCCTCTGCTTCCACTCGTCCAACCCTCAAGAAGCACGACCGGGAACTTGGCTGCAGTCACTCTACAAGTAACAGTGCCCAAACTCTCCATGTATGGAATATTTACATACATTGGGATGGTTTCAGGGGTGAATGTAGCCAAATATGCCATACATGGAATGTCTAGGGTCGGTAGAACAAAAAACACTTGCGTTTCTCCAGTTCTACAGTGTCTCAAGAGCTTGACAGCACCTATTCCAGGTGCGAACGAACGTAACTTGGAACCCCACAAACAGACTACACCCAAAGCCACATGTCCTTTGTAGGCTGGCCCTCTTTCAGCCCCAAAACAGAATTGTGATGGTTTAGGTGGAACGCAAATACATTGACAAGATATAACATGCAAGTTACTCTGCAAGTTCTAGTGGTGGAATATGGTTGGGATCTCTCGTGGCATCTTCCACAAATGTGAGGGCAATCTGCTCTCATGGAGGCCTGGGATGAAGTTGTTTGATCGGAGCTCTCTTGGCTTTATACTGAGCATGCCCACATTGATGTTTGGACACAATGTGCAAACCCAATTGTCCAAACATCTCAATCCGATCAAACCCAGTTGAGACTAACTGTTTGCACTGGCGGTTGACTGCAAAGTAAACTAAAATAAAATAGACTAGACTATATAAAGAAAAACTGTCAGCTTTGCCCCATGAGAGTGTCCACCCAAAGTTCCGAGTCCGGATTGAGCTAGTCACGAATACGCCTGATTTCATGGCACATGGATTTTAATCCCTGGCTGAGCGCCCTTGCTACGGCCATGGCTTTAGCCTTGAGCTCCGGGTCCTTGTATGACCTTATAGATTCATCGGTCTCCGAACAGGTCTGACACCCAGGAACAAGCGGTTCATGAACAAGCAAACACGACACGGGGGCTTCTTTCGCAGCAATGCATGGAGTGGGGCTTGGATGGGCTTGGGTTTGAAGGTTCCATGGAAGGCAAGCAAACAGTTTCGGCACCATCATCCTGCATCCCCGAAATTGGTGTGCCTAATGTTGCCGGGCGAGCTGATCTTCTGAAAACCCAGGTGCACTGCAATGCACACTGCAGCTGATATGGAATGCGCCTCTCCTTTTGGGCACCAGGTGGCTTGGTATTTCATCCGCTAGGATCAAGGAGTGAACTCCAATCCTCCGTACGACGTACCGACGTTTGCTCCAGAAAATCGTGGAAGTGGTGTTGACCAGTACTAGGTGAGTGTATTTGGATGTGAAGAATGGTAGGTGGTCAAAGATCAAATATCATTGTCTTTCAATTGCATGGCTGTGACACAAATGTCCCATGCACTCCTCATGTGCTTCATCATACATGTTCTGGATTCTGGACCTGCTTCAACCCCATTCGCTGCCAATCGCTTCTCTCACAGCCAGTTCGGAAACAGTTCGACCAGTTGCTCACGAAAGTTCAGATCTTTAGGATGGTGCCAAAGAGAGTAACGCATCTCTAAGGACATTTCGACATGTGCGGTGCCTCCAAAAGAACACACATACACGAAAAAACATCGCTTCAGATCAAATGGAATGGTTAATGCGGCAAACATGTCATTGACAAACTTTCGTTAGTATTGCATATATACTTATCTGTACATATCTGTACAACATAGATCCTCCAAGAATGGTGTCCTACAGTAGACCGTCCGGTACAACGGGAGATGACTCATGAGGACCGAGGCTCCCAGCTCGAAGAAGGCCCGGTGCGAAGCCAAGGAGTAGGGGAAGACCGTTTGCCCATCGCGCGTCTCCGCCGAATCGTCTCCGATCGACATGGAGCAAGAAGCTCAGCTGGGAGGTTCCGCTGGGAGGATCGAAACATCTGCGAAACATCCCTGAATACTATAGGAACACGAAGCTATACCAGTAACAAAGGGCGTCGTTACTAGGAGCAAGAAGCTACTAGTAGCTCCTGGCATTACTACTAGGAACAAGAAGCTACTAGTAGCGTCCTTGATCCTAGTAGCGATGCCCTTTGTTCCTAGTAGCTTCTTGTTCCTAGTAGTAAGGCCAGGAGCTACTAGTAGCGTCCTTCATGTGCTTCATCCCTGAATATCCCTATGTTCATTCAAGCTCAACACCGCCTGGATGTGCTTGCGACATGGTAACTCGTTAATCGTTGTTCATCTCAGGCTACAAGAATTCTTCTTCCTTAAAAGATAGTGTATAGAACAATCTTAAGGGTATGCTCCTGGCTCATGAAGGTTGGGCAAAGGCCATGATAATTTACTCCTGGCAAACCCTGCGAGTTTGCACTTCGATCGTTCCGGATGAGAAATGCGATGAGGTGATGCGGATGAGGAACAAAGTCACAAAAACCCGTTTGTTCAACTGCAGCTCTAAGTCGTGCTTGGGGACTCACTTGTTCCACGAACAGATGATACAGATGCAAACATGTCATACAATATAACATATTAACACTGAAATATGCAATGATGTGTCCTCAGTTTCAGGGTGCGTTTATATTGCTTCCTTCGGCCTGCGGTATGCCAGGGTGATCCGATAACCGTTCTTTTGGGGCTTTGGGGGTGTGCTCGCAGGATCAGAAGGTAGTTGGGGAGGGCATCACTGAGGTCTCTAAAGAAAGTGGGCATTCCTAGTAGCGTCCGATCGCTCCTAGTAGCGCGATGCCAGGAGCCCCGTTCGTAGCGTCCGATCGCTCCTAGTAGTGAGGCCAGGAGCCCCTAGTAGCGTCCTTGCTCCTTGCATATTTGATAATTGGCAAATGCAATCCCTCCCAATATATACTCTTCAGATTGGGAGTGCAGTACAGTTCAATGTGTCTTATCCTGCCAAAGAGAACAAGAGGAGCCAAGCAAAGAACTGCAAACTCAATTAGTTCTGATTCCAAAGTGGACACACCAGCATCTAACGCAGCTCATCAAACCACATTCATCCACCCTGGCACCTTGCGCAAAAGCCAAGTGTAGCCTGGAGGTGCCTCTGGTGGT